AGCCGATATTTCACGCACCGAAATGACGTAGACTGTAATTTCCCCATCCCAATTACTTGGCAGTACCTTGGTTCTTCATAACTCTCTTGTTCCCGTTTTACTTCGGTTATGTGCCCGCAAAAAAAGGGGCACAATGACCAGGAAAAGTTCTCGCCTAAATGCGGGTCAAACAGCAAATTAACGAGAAGGGAAGGAGCCCAGGAAAAAGAAAGGCCAATGGCACGAAGCGATGACAAGATGGACCTGCTGGAGTAGCCATAGAATTTCAATCGAGAGAAGTGAAGAGATCCCGTGTATAAGTGCGCAATATTGGAAACAATGAAGCCATTATTCACCGGGTTTACTTGTTTACATCACGTCCCTTTCTACAGGTCTGATGCATGGGAAATTAATCTTTTTCTCTGTGGTTTTCTCGCTTCCGTTTTCCACACCATCTGCCATCTCCCCTCAGTCTCATTGCTGTTTCTTTTTTTCTTCTCTTTCCTTTGCGTGTTTCCTTCCATTTAGTCATCTATAGGAAGAGGCAAGAGGAGCAATACTCTTGAGTTATCCCAGTCTGTATATCCGGCCATTGTGCGTGTGCCTCCGTCCCTACGTCCATCACGTAGATTTTCCTCCTCTCCCTTCTCTGTATTTGCTCTATCATGCCCTCAAAATGTCCTCGCGCGTGTCTGTCTGTCTGTGTGTGTGTGTGTGTGTGTGTGTGTGTGTGTCTGTCTGTCTGTCTGTCTGTCTGTCTGTCTGTCTGTCTGTCTGTCTGTCTGTCTGTCTGTCTGTCTGTCTGTCTGTCTGTCTGTCTGTCTGTCTGTCTGTCTGTCTGTCTGTCTGTCTGTCTCTGTGTGTGTGTCTGTCTGTCTCTCTGTGTGTGTGTGTGTCTGTCTCTCTCTCTGTGTGTGTGTGTCTGTCTGTCTGTCTCAGAGAGGGGAGAGAGAGAGAAAGGGGGGGGGGTGCTTTTCTAATCCGATCGGTTATGGACGACCTGGTCAGGGTCGCCATATACATGCGAGAGTGACTCATAATGTCGCAATTCCTTTTGGTAGTCTATACGGTATACCATACGGCTTCCCTAGAAGGCAGCCTAGTCTGCTAGAGGTGTCTTGTCTGTTTTCTGTCTCCCTTTCCGTGAACCATGCTGCCCTGTATTTTCAGGGATCAGCCCTTCAGGTATCGAGAGAAGTGACATAAGTGATTCAAGGGTTTGTGTTTTCCGTTGGTGTCTGTGTCGTGTCATCCTCTCCGTCCTTCCCTCCTCCCTCCGTCCTCTTGCTCCTAAACGATGGAGAGAACGTCAATGCATCATAGGTACATACCTGTTCATCCCATTCAGAGAATTTTTTTCTGCCTTGATTGGGGTCATGGAATTGCGTGTCGGTAACGGTGTGTTTCCATAATGCATCCCATGAGTCAGCAGGAGTCTGACAATATTCCTCTTTCCCGTGCCGCCGGATTCGAAAGCCAAAGCGTGGCTAATGGTTCCCTACCTATCCTGTATTGTATAGCCTATACATGTTGTATGGGGGACAGAGAGTCATCGTAAACACCAGTAATGCTTGGTAACAAAAGGAAATACGTGACCAGCCTTGGGAGACAAGGAAGTAGTTTTGGAAGAGTACAAGTTCCTGTTTTCCCTTCTTGCCCTTGGATATCCCTTTTTATTGCCTATATCAGCAACTTTCCCTGATTATTTTATTTGTTGTAACTTGGATGGTCATGATGATGTGTTATCTCTAATCTGACGTGGTGATGATTCTCTGTGCTAACGTCCAGACGCCTACATCGTCTGTCAAGAGGTTTGTCGAGTGTCTGTCGTTGTCATTGAAGAGCAGCCAAGATGAAAGGCTTATCCTCATCTCTTCCCTCTGACTCACTCACCTTCTTTTTCCCCATCTTGGCTTAGTTTCCAGACCTGTTTCGTCAATCTTGTCAGCACGTGTGGTTTGGTTTTCATCGCCTTGGAGTTTAATGATGATTATGGTGAGGCAGTGGTTCATCATCGCCATGAGATCATAGATGTCTTCTCGATCAGGTCCTTGTATGGAGATGTTCAGATTGTTTCTGACTGAAGGAATTTGTTTTCTTTGTTGAAACTGGGATGATTATTCCCTTCCTGGCGTGTGATCGCTGCAAGTCGTTTCGTAACGAACATACCTCACGTCCATATATCTAAATGAGCAGAAAATCGCTTATTCCTAACTATTCTCGTTTATGCAAACATTTTCAGATCTTTTGTTGCTGAATCGGATATATCCGATAAACGCAAAACGCTTATCCGTTTGGTCAGTAACTCCCTACATTTTCGTTTATTGATTGCTAAAAAATGAAGTACGCCCTTCATTTCTTCAGGTCAGAGAGTACAGGACGAAGCAATGACGACAAAGTAGTAGCAATGCTTGAAAGATATAATGGAAGGACACAGGACAAATTAAAAAAAAAAAATATATATATATATAGTTTTCCGTTCCTTCTATTCCTGGTTCCTGGGCGGAACCCTAGTCCAGTTCCTGTCGTCAAGATGAAGATCTGAGATGTTGATCGCACAATCTTAAAGAATTTCCTTGGCAAGCCGGCCAGGCACGTGGTTTCGGGAATAGGAAGGTTATTTTTTAAGCCTACCCAAGGCCATTCTCATACTTCTGCTACACGGTCTGTTGAGTCTGTGTGTAATTACTCCTCTACCTTTTCGGCGCGCTTCAGTCGGATTTCGGACCGGGAATAAGTACCCCATGCGCTATTTCAGGGATAGTTAAAATACCTTGCTGCTGGTTATATGCTGGGAAAAAAACCAGTTCTGATTTCCTCAAAGGTAGACTGGTAGTTTAACCCATTAGAAACATTCCTACTGTAGACTTGACTGAACATCTCTGGTACTAGGATAGCTAACCCCTGGACTACCTAAGAAATAAAGCAGAGCAGAAAGTGAGAGACTCACGTCCATCCCTTTCTGAGAATGCTATGGCTGTTACTAGGAAACGAGACAAGTATTCAATATTTATTCATGCCGAAGAGGAAAAAAAGATCTAATTTCGATTGAGGCGATGAACCTATGAAAAGCAAATCCCCCTTTGCTGCTTGTTGGTTCTCTCAGCCCCAGGAGCATGTGCCAAGTAGCAAGTTGATCCAATGCATATCCACTTGTATAATTACAAATGATACTTTTTTGAATTATCTCCTGCTATAGGTTTATTTCTTCTCTTTACTCAGTAATGAGCCTTTGTCCGGTCACGTCGTGAGAGTTTTATCTCACTTATTGGCCTGGCATCTCTGAATCGAAGGAACAAAGTAACAATGCACGGATGGATGGACGGATCAAAGTCTTGTCCAAATGATAGGGCTCCTCACGAATCCCGTTAATCCTTGTGTGTGCGTGTGTCGTCCAGCCATGTAAATGGGCGCGATGAATGCCCGATTGATTGGTTTCTTGACCGTTACCATAATACGGATGGAGGTACCCTTCCTCATTGCATTTCGTTGTGTTTGTGGGGTGAGATGGAAGAGGGAGCCTGAAGGAGATCCCTGCCTCCAGCACATCACCAATTATCGTGTCATTCAACTATGTGGCATGGTTGAAGCAAAAAAAAAAAGAAAATTTGACACTTGCGGTGCAGGTAGAGAGACACACACATGCACACCAGGTCAAGGTGTTATCTCCATAGGAAATGGAGTCGTTAACTGTACCCTAATGATGGCATTTGGGAAGGGCAGGACCTGGGCCTTGTATCTCCTAATAATGACTCCATAGTCTATCTTGTCTTCCTCTTCCTCCTCCTCCTCATCATCATCATCCCGGGACTGCTTCTGGCACACTAACCTGACCTGGGGCAAGAAGGCGAAAAGGCAGATGGTTTTGCACTCCAAGATTGGTCATTTCCTTCCATCTTGCAGTGCACGCGACTAACCAAGAAGCCCAAGATAAATGACCTCCTGGGTTCAGGGAACTAACCGATGACATGGCACAGCAGATGCAGCCTTTCCTCCTCCCCCTCGGATTAATGACTTTCTTACTCATACACCCGGCTTGGAATAATAAGGGAACTTCCATACAGTCTTTCATTGTGGTTTCTCTGGGTTTCTTTTCATCATTGGAGGTCGTTTCCCCCTCTGTCATATGGTCCAGATCATTATTGTCCCCCTCATCATCTTCTTATCTCCTGAGTTCCATTCGTCGGTTTGGTCTATGAGGTAGAGGATCTCTTCGGCGAGAATCACTTTGCCAAGACACCTTTCGGGGAGGGTCGCCCTTGAACTTGATTGGATTTCTGTCTCCTCTATTGTCTCTTGATTCCTGCTGATTCACGGGTTCTAATTATATCCCAGCCGGTTAATGCGGACTTCCCTCACGATTGATGCTGTGGAAGCTCCCCATGCCTCAGGGTCTCTGCTTCACTTCCCTTTTCATCACCAAATCCCTTGAAAGGTTACTCAACTGATGCATTCAAGGAGAAGGAAAAAAAGAGGAGGGGAGGGAGGAATTCCATTCTGGTTCGGTCGTTGTGTAGCTCACCCAGCTGAGAGAACGAGAAAGGCAAAAAATGCAGATTTTTTCCTTCTGCTTCCACTTTTTCGAGCTTCCTCGGTATCTTGTGACTAAAGAGGTAGAAAAAGCCTTCAGGAGATATACAATGGGAGAAACCTCTGTGTGCCATTTATAGGGTCTTGCAGCCGCCTGGAGGTGCTTCCCATGACCTGTTCAATGGTTCCGATTCTGACGGCACAAGGGCACATCATAGGCAAGTCTAGGAACCACCTCTGGTCCCTTTCCTGGCTCCCAGGATTGAATTTAATCATGCTTTTCAGCACACTCTCATCTTCAGCACTGATTTTTGCAGCGAATGGCCCTCTCACCGCTTGCATGGAGTTTCCATGTAATGTTCCTTCACATGTGAATACAGCTGTCTTTGCATGTTTTAGCTCATCACATTTCGTGTTTCGGTTTGCTGTCATCACTTATCACTGTTTTATTGACTTGGTTTCCTGCTCGTTTTCATAGTCCTTATATATATATGTGTGTGTGTGTGCTGAAATTGTATCGCACAGTGAACATCTAATCATGAATTCCATAATAAAAAATCACATTAATATGCTACATTTTTTAGCCCTTGCTTGCAGAGTGATTTTCTATGATTTTGGTTTTATTTGATTTTCGTTTGTGTGCAGGGTTTTGAAGCCACCTGGCGGTGCAAGCAGCAACTTGTTTGGCGAGGAGACTCCACAGGAGCAGACTCCCCGGCGTGTAAAGAACTACATGAAGAGCAGCATTTTTGGATCTGAGGAGGACTCCGTGGACAGCCCGGCATCGGCAAAATCTCGTCCGCGGCCTGGTAACGATTCCGTATCCCAGCTCTTTGGGGGACAAGAATCCAAGTCTTCTCGCCCGGTTAAGAATTACCTCAAGAGCTCTATTTTCGCCTGGGATGAGTCTGATGCCGGGAAGAAGGAAAAGGAAAAAAAGGAGGACGAGGAGGAGGGAAAGGAAAAAGGGAATGAGGGTGGCGGTAAGCTGGAACAGGGTGATTCTGTACATGATGATGCTGCACCCCAAGGTACGACTCTTCTTTTCCTTCCGCTCCTTTTTATTTTTCTCCCCCAGTTCTCGGGTTTGAAAGGTGGGGTGGAGAGTAAAAAAATTGCACTTTTTTCAGATTTTCCAATGGCGTTTTGCCAGTTTTTCACGCGAGGCTTGAGTTTCTTTGTGTCTGTACACACTAGTACAAGAGCAGCCGCTTTTCACTCACTGTGACATACTTTATTTGCTCTTTGCATGCAATAATTCCCTGTCAACACTTTATCTTTCGCTACCCTGACTAATTCTCTGAATTAGATTTGAAAAAAAAAAGAAATATTGTGTGGCACTTTATGGTTGTGGGCATTGGATGCTTCCTGTAATGATCCAACAGATCATGATGACTTCATCCCCCTTGTGACTAATGGGCAATCCAGTTGATGACAGGAAAAGGGATGGCCTTGGGTTCTGGACCCCAACCTCCATCATTTGTTTCACTGTATACTGCGTTTCAGGAAACCGGAAGCGAAAAGGGTTTCCCCTTCCCCCACCTTAGATTATGATCACCTTGCCTTCTTCCTTTCTTGTGACATACTGTCCAGAGTTGCCTAGTCAACAGGACTGATTCTTACATGATCAGCCATGGGAAACTAATGTCAGCCTCAATTGTTCATCCTTTTTCCTCTCACCTTCAGAATGCAACATTTTTTGTTTTACCATATTTGTGGAAGCAATGCACTAGATTACAGTGTTGCCCAAGTACTTCCATCAGAGTAGAGGAGCACAAGAGGAAATGAAACATGAGGTAATATGAGGTTGAACCTCATGGTTTATATTGTACCAAAAGCAGTAAAATTTGGTATTTTGCCTTCTCTTTTGTCTGCAAATGCTGCAAAATTTTCTTTGAGTTCAATGCTGAACTGTGGTTGAAGTGCAAGTGATTTTACCCAGTAAGAAAATCACTGTGTATACTATGATGTGCATTCTCCTGAAATGCTGACATCTGCATTAACCCAAACCTCTCAAAAGTGCTTCAGCATATATTAAATGATAGCTTTTAGCAGTTCCTAGTAACTTTTATAAGCAGAACTCTCATTGGTGCTTGTACATTGTACACATGTTTCATGCTATACCTCTTGCATTTGACCCCCTGAAATGCAACATAGCCAAAACTGTCTACACTTCGTTTTTCCTACTGCATTTACAGGCTCCTTGGGTAACTTAAGCCACTCTTGAGCATTACTGGAAAGAGCTTAGAGAAGAAACATTATGTTTATTATGAAGTTTTTTTGATGAAGAATATACTTAGTTCTGTTACAAATTAATAGATAGCAGCATATTTTTAAAAAGTTCTCAATATGAAGTGAAGCCAAAATATGCTCCTGTTGATGTCAGAGCAGAAATTAGCTATGCCATTCTTTAGACCTCAATATGGTTGATGAAATAAGTAGATACCCTACTCATATTATCACTTAAGTAACTGAAGCATGAGAATGGAGATATTGATAAAGTCTTTACCAGGGAGTGGAAATCTTTTTGCTGTCTGTCTCGTATCTGTAAGCAAATGTGGCAACATAAGGATCATTAGATGGAAAACTATTTTTAGAAAAATAATTCAGACTTCACCTACATAGCCCCATTGAAAAGTGAATGAAATTGGATTGAAAAAATTAATAGATACTTTAATGTTTTTCACGATTATGAATGTTCAAGAATAAATTTGCTTTCAAGTACTTGGGACAACGTTGCAGGATTGCATGCCACCCTTGCAAACATCATCCTCTGAAAATTTTCAGCCTGGTGTTTGTAATTAATGCTTCTTGATTTTTCTGTCTTTCCTGCCATCATATTTTTCTTATCCCTAATCTTGTTCTATTATTTCTGGCTCTGCTTGTCCTTGCTTGCCTGACTGCTTGAATATGTGAAGGAGCATGCAAACTGAAGATCCCAGGCTGTACTACCCGACCTGTTCATACTGTACCACTCAGGCCTCTTGCTCATGGTCAAGCTTCTCAGCCACAAGGTAGCTTACTCTTGCTGTCTTCTTTGATCTCAATGCAGTTTGAAGATAAGGACAGTGATTAATGAAGTATCTTTCCTTATCTTCTGCATACCCTTCTCTTTCCCTCTTCCCGGTCCTCCTCATTAGCAGGATGCTTGCTTTGCTAAAACAGTAACAAGAAAGGACTGGGTGAGTGGGTTTTGCCCTAATAATGCTCTCCCAGGACTGGAAGACCTTCCCACTTGACTTTCCAGCTCCAGAAGAGGAATCTTGATGAGATTGATGCAACCAGGCCTGATGGTTTTTGCAGGCAAAGAAAATTCATGACTCAAGGGCCTAGGACTTGCCTTTGGTATCATAATTCATGCTTTAATAATTACGTCTTTCAAATTAAATTTCAGGTCTGACTGGGGTCAGACTGGGGTATTTATATGCCATGGGGTTGGTATATGGTCATCCTCCAGTGTCTACAACATGAAATTCAATGCAAGGAGTTTATAAGGCAATTATGTACTTGGCACCTCTAATTATAAATCCTAAAGAAAAAAAAACCACAAGTGATATGCTATTGATATAGGAAATCAATACAATTTTAGTTCAGAATTATGTAAGAATAATAGTTTTTGGATTTTGGTAAGGTTCTTTTTTTCAATTGTGTAGTTCAGTATACCTGTATCAGAAGTTTTTCATTCTCATGGACACTGTCATCAATTATTTAATTTTTTTTTTTACTTTGTGGATATCCTAGAAATACCCACGTGGCCTCAAAATATGTGCCATGCAAAGCATGTCATGATGAATGAATTTTCTTTTTTCATTTTAGTCAACACCCAAGTGAATGGAGAGGTGTACCAGAATGGTCATGGGCATGGCAATGGGTCCATCAATGGAGACACAAATGGCTACAAGACTCCCCCGAGTGAGCCATCCACTCCCACTTCTGCTGCTCCTGGTATTCAACAACGTGGCCGAGTCCCACCTGGTGGCTTTTCCTCCAAGCTCTGGTAGACCTGCCTGCAACTACATCTGCAACAGTAACAACAGTACTCCCTTCACAATGGCACACAGTTTTTCTTGAGACTAATTCCTCAAATGCTTTTTTCTGATTTGACTACTGTCCCCCATTTATAGCATAAATAATATTTGGATAAAATCCCCAGATCCTGTGCTTCCCCCCATCAGCAACACTGCTTCCTTGACTTTCTTCTCAATGAAAGTGTGTTCATTCTGTGGTTTGTGGAAGGACATGGGTGATGCAAAACTCCTTAGGAATCTCCATGTCTCACTTCTTCATGATCAGAATACTTTGATTCTTGGCTGTAAGATGATGAATGGATGGTAAACACTGTGTAAACATTGAGGCGCAGGGCAGATGAGCCTGGTTTCTTTCTCTTATGTTTGCATGCATGTTCTCTCCATATGTTAGTCTGGCATCCCCCCCCATGTCCTGTCCTTTCTTGGGTGCCTTTGCTTGTGTGCCTTGAGCGAGCGAGAGAGAGAAAGAAAGAGAGAGAGAGGTTTTCTTCGCTAATCTTTCCTTTGCGATGTTTCGGATTCTTACTGTGATCGGGAGCTTAAAATGCCAAAAGTTTCTCCCTCCAAATATCGCAACATGTCGACGAGGACCATGACAAAAAATTCTTCCCAACTTTTTTCACTTTTAAAGTAGTAGATGCTTGTCAAGCAGTGATGCTTTCTTATTTCTTAGTATTTTATTGATAAATAAATAAAGTCACATATTCATGGTTTCTTTGTCATGATGGTTTGTTTCTTTCTCAAAGTTCTACTTTGATATCAGTGTTGGACTCTTTCCAGCTATAGAATCTTAGTGTTGAGAATTTTTAACCAGTACTCCTAATGTACGAGAATGTCTCAGGGAAATTTTTTTTATAGAAGTCCCTTCCATGGTAAAGTTGCAGCATTGCTTTTTCATTATGAAAACAAAATAAACCGACTGTTTAGGTCTTGTATCCCCCAAGGAAGAGCAGATCTTTTGCCCAGCACTCGCCATCACAGCTCTTGACGCAAGAAATCAATAGCTCCACCCTAAGCTTAATGTCTACGTTCGTGGACAAACAAGTTGCGGGTGTTGTATAACGTGTTGGGCACATCAGATGTAAAAAGTAACTAGATACAATTGCAAGAACATTAACTATAAGTTCAAGTTACGTTTCCCAAGCTCTGCCAACTTGGAACTGGACTTCATTCTGGCATTATTCCGGTGAAAGACGCGTAGTTTTCTTATTATATCCATCCTAGCTTGGTATAACATCGAAAGGGAGGATTTACGCATGTAGAAGCTGGAATTCTAAAAAAAAAAAGTCAGCTTTATAGGAGGGGGGAGGTGGTGAAAACCATTGGCTGGTGCATCTGCTCGAAACTGCGCAGTTTTGAGCATGCGATGCAGTCGCATTTGTTGCGTCCGCCCCTAACTGCATCGCAATGCTGGGGTGAGTTAAAATGTTCAAGTTAAAATGCCCTTGCTTAGAGTAAAATAGCCTCTCCACAGCGACACCGGCTGGTGTGTTACGCGTTTGATGAACTGCGTTTTTAGCTCTACAGTGAGGGGAAAGATGTTAAACAGCGCTTGCCACTTACATCTCAAATTGTCTTTCATTAAAGTAGTGCCACTGAGGTTTTTCTTGGAAAAGGAACTAGGTACTGCTTCCGTTACTAGTTCCTGTATAGTAACCCATTACTGTAACGCGTTGGTTTTACTTCGTTACCGCCTAACACTGGTTATAATAACCTATGACATGTAAATGAGAAACATGTCCTGGAGGCAGGTATGTTCACTCGAAAATGCATTCCAATACCTTAATTAACCCAGAAGGCTTTCAGGGTAAGTATATCTAAAAAAAAAAAACAACCCAACGGTGTCGAATTCCCAGCTGTGGAAGGGGAAATCGCTCGGAATCCTGACCCCTTTCGAAGCAGAGCTATAAATGGCTCTCTCGTTCGTTCGTCTCCCAGCAAGAAGGGGGAGAGACAGGATCATATGGAATGTGAGTGACGGGAGCCAAGAAGGGCCAGACAGCCTTGAGGCGAAGGATCTGAGAGGGCGTACGCCGCTCGGTTTTTATTATTGTTATTATTATATATTAAGCCCGTCGAACGCTGGTGAAACGTTCTCGTGAAGCGAAATCATTCATGTATGATGGATCATTGGATGGAGCACATAGTAAACAGCGGGGCGTCGTACACCAGTGAAGCATGAACTTCGTGTTTTATCTCGCGAAGCGTCTATCATACACGCTTCGCGAGAATGTTCGCCGGTGCGCAGCCAGCTCGATCCCTTTCGCCCGATCGGCACTCGAAGCAATTGATTTCTCAAAGCTGGCTTCGGAAATTCTGCTTCTCTCGTACAGGGGGGTGGACGGAAAGTCCTTTTACTCCTTTGAAATCGTGTAACGGGCGCGTCGTCGTCTCGGCAGAGGATGACGCGTCGCCGAACCCCGTGAGACGTCCTTCGGAACGATCGTCGTAAATGCTGCGAGAATTGCGACCCGTAAAGCCTCAATCCTTCGATAGCGCTGTTTCACGACGGTTTCCTTGATGCATCCCGCAAAGCAAAATCTCGGACGTGCCGACGTCCGGACTCCGTAGCGGCCACTCGAACGATCCGGGAATGCTCCGTTCGGAAAGTCTTGGACCGTCGGGACAAATCGTGCCGGAGACACCGTTCTCCTGTAACCAGGTCTAATGCCGAGTTCATCTCGTTTCGGGACGAAGAAATCGTGCCCGTCGTGCCCTAATATCATCGTCGTTCGACCGGCCCAGAAAATAAATATGGGCCAATCACGTTCAGACAGTTCGCCGCCCACACCACGAATCGGAGACGCATAATTGCATCGGGGTTAAGGAACTCTATTCACCCTGTCATTGTGACCAGCAAAACTGGTCTAATTCGTCTGGCTTTTGTGTCTGTAGGGTAAGAATTTCATTCAAAGAGATCCAAACCATGTTTGGAGGAAAGATAGCTATGCTTCTTGGCTTCCGATAACTATCCACTTTGATTTGAACGAGTGGGTGTATTCGTGGATTGATGGACTCTCAAAGGTGGATGTGTCATTGGACCGGTTTTGCGACTCGTGTTCGGTCCGACCGATGGGCATTTATAAATCAAGGCGCACCCATTTCACCATAAGCGTAGCTTGGATGAAAAAAACTGGGGGGGGGGGGGGGGGGGGTGCGGGGTACACGTGCACCCCCTGCCCCCCGAAGCTACGCCGCTGCATTCGAGCTTCACCAAATTTATAACATGGATGCATCTGCAACTTGTGCCCTTACGTCCAACTCTCTCCTTCGTCCTTCGTCATTCCTATTCGCCACGAAACGCTTTTCTAAAGAAACCGGAACAACGTGGTTTCTCTGCTCGAATGCCTTTCTCCGCCGAAAAATCGCAGCCCAGCTGGGCATAGGTCATACTACAGT